AATATATATATATATATATATGCACTCTTATATTTCCTTTATACAGGAAATAGAGAATAGTAAAGGGTAAACAGTAGGTATTCAATATAAAGAAGCTAGAAAGAGCTAAAAAAACACGTAATAAAAGGCCATTGTATAAAGATATTTATAAGCAGGAAGAAAGGAAAGAAAAACTGCAAAAATATGCAGAAGACGAAGGAAACAAAACAACAAAAAGATGAATATTTTCTTAGCGGCAAAGAAATTCATTGAAATAAACCCATAAAACAATTCCTTTTTAAATAAATAAAATAAATATAAATATATTTTTATATTTAAATAAATAAAAAGAAGAAAAAATCGTATTTTAATTGCCTTCGTATATACCTGAATTTCTTACGAAATCCAGCCCCGTGGGGCCCCCCTTTGCTGCATGCATGCAATTGGGGCTCTAATGGTTTTTTTGCATATTTTAGGGATTTTTTTGTATTTAAAAATAAAAAAAGAATAAAATAAATAGAAAAAGAGTTTTTTATTTATTTATATTCATAGAAGAAGAGGAGAGGCGCAGCATTTCTGCTGCTGCTGCCCCCACAGAGGGGTTCCTCTCATCCGTGACTGTTAAGACTTTTTCTTCTTTTTCTTCTTTTTTCTCTCCTTCTTCTTCTTTTACCGTTTCTTTTTATATAATTATATAAACAATTTAATTATTTATTTCTTTTTATTTCTTTTTTATTTAAAATGGCGAGAAAACTCAAGAAATTTCAAAAGGGAGAGGCAGCACAATATACAACAAGAGCAAGAGCCCTCAAGAAACTACAGGTAAACTTTTTATTTTTTTTTCTTTCTATTTATTAATTAATAATAACAATAATATTATTATTATTTATATTATTTATATTATTATTATTTTATTATTGTTCTTTTTATTCTTTTTCTGTTGCTGTTTCCTTAAAGACCTTTTATCTAAGGTCTTCTTGGTGACTTCCACTCCTTACCTCTGCTGCTGCTGCTGCTGCTGCTGCTGCTGCTTCTGTTGTTGTTGCTGCTGCTGCATGATATGTATAACAATTATTTAACCCCTGCTGCCCGTCCAACTCCTCCCGCTGCTGCTGCTGCTGCTGCTGTTGCTGCTGCAGCTGTCCTTAGCAGACTTCCGTCGTGTATGTATACTAAAAGGTATATACCCCCGTGACCCCAAGAAGAAGAGGTATGGTAGTAATCAGGTTTATTACCATAAGAAGGATATACAACATATATTAACAGATGAATTATTATTGAATAAATTAAGAGGAATAAAGAGTATAAAAAAAAAAATAAAAAAAAAAATAGGAAGAAAAGAGTATAAAGATGCAAAAAATATACAAAGATTTAATTCTTCTTCCTTACCTATACAACATTTATTAACACAAAAATTTCCTTCTCTTTCTTCTGCTCTTGATGATCTAGATGATTGTTTATGTACTCTCTTCTTAATTGCCAGTACGTAGTCCTCCTTCTCCTCCTCTTCCTCCTCCTGCTGCTGCTGCTGTCGTTGCTGCTGCTGCTGCTGCTGCTGTTGTTGTTGTTGTTGTTGTTGTTGTTGCTGCTGCTGCTGCTGTTGTAGAATATACCTCCAAGACTGTTTGTAATCGTATTACTGCTGCTTCTTCTGCTGCATTTGCTGCTGCTGCTTAATTTGCTGCTGCTGTTGCTGCTGCTGTTGCTGCATTTGCTGCTGTTGCTGCTATTTGTACAGGTTTACCATGTGCTGTATCTCGTGGTTTATGCCCATCACGTATAATAAAATGTATAAATATATTAGATGAATATTTATTATTAATTAGTTATATAAAAGGATTAAAAAAATGTTTTATTTCTATTAAAGGTTTTTTCTTTCAAGCAGAAATATTCAATAAACAAATTACATGGATTATACCTCATGCATTTGCACAGGTACAATTATCCTCCTCCTCCTCCTCTTGCTCCTGTTGCTCCTGTTGCTGCTGTTGCTGCTGTTGTTGCTGTTGCAGCTTATGATGTTGCTGGTGCTCGTGCTCGTCATTGTGCTGCTTGTTGCTGTTGCTGTTGTTGTTGTTCTTGTTGTTGTTGTTGTTCTTCTTGTGGTGGTGGTGGTGGTGGGAGGGAATGTGATGGGCTGTTCAGTGCTGCTGCTGGTGCTGCTGGTGCTGCTGTTGCTGCTGCTGCTGCTGCTGCTGCTGGTATAATGGTATAATTTCCTTGTAATATATTTATGCATATAATGAATAACTTAATTGATTTTATTTAATTTATTTATTTTTTTTTTTTTTTTTTTTTTTTTTTTTTTTTTTTTT